TATTTCTGGTGCAGGAATTCCCTTTCTAGGTTGCTTTATTGGGCAGCATGGCCTTCGAGCAGATCACTCTAAGGTAAAGTTATTTGTTGATTGATCGGTTTATTCGAACCAAAAGGACTTTCATAAATGGCTCGGCCTTACAAATTACTTGCACAAGTACAGTACAAACCACGCTGATATGGCAAGGCCACTAACCAACCTCCTCAAGAATTATGCAGTATGGTGTTAGGACGCAGTCCATGCTTAAGCTATAAAGCTATGAAGGACAGTCGCCTTCATGCTCCAATTGTTAGTTTTGCCTGACCCTGAGCGGTCTTTCAGTGTCGTCCGTGACGCGTCTGGTTTTGCTTTCGGTTGTGCGTTATTACAGAAAGATGTCGATCGACATGAACGCTTCATTGCGTTTGAATCTCATCAGCTAAAGGCTGCAAAGAAAAACTATCTAGTTTACGACAGAAATTTACTCGCAATGAATATGCCTTTGTTTAGTTTAGAGTCCACCTACTTGGCTTGAAGCCTTTTGTGATCTTCAACGATCATGCGTCATCACACACTGCGACACAGTCGCCTCACCTCTCACAGCGTATGGCCCGTTAGCTTTCATTCTTTGCTGAATACAACTTCAAGGTGAAGTGCAAGCTGGGCAAGCAAAACGCTTTGGCTGATACGTTGTCACAAAGATGTGACTATGAGCTTGCTCGTTTTACGACTCAGTCATCATCCATTATAGATCTAATTTGTGCCACATATGCACGTGGTGAGCAATGTGTAGCATTGCTACATGCTCCTGGAAGCGATGAGTTTCAAGACTCGGACATAACATTGTTGGCACGTTTACGTGCTAGCCTACATCGATATGTCATCGATGGTGGGCTGTTGTGTTATTTTATGGGTGTTGAGGATATGTCTCGCATCGTAGTTCTTTGTTATGAGGATTTGAATTATCTTATCCTCTTCGAGTCACATGAAACTGCTTCTAGCGTTCATCTCGGTCGTGAGAAGACCTATGGCTCAGCTATCCAGACACATCGGTGGCCCAAGTCTGTACAAATGGGTGAGCACATATGTGTGTACATGTAAAAACATGTCATCGGGTCAAACCCTCAGCACGTGCTGTTGCATCGCTTGCTAGTTTGCCCGTTCCCACTGAGTGTTGGGAGTTCACCAGTATGTACTTCGTGTTTTGCCTAACGAATGACTCGGACGGCAACACTGGCATTGTGGCCTTTGTTGACCGTTTGAGCAAGATGTCTCATTCAGCGGGTGGTCCAATTTCCATAGTTGGCAAATGTCAGCAAAGCTGTTTATCGAACGTTTGTTTCGTCAACACGGTTTGCCTGTAGCAATTGTATCTGATCGTGATCCACATTTCACACTGGCAAGTTTTGGACTTCCATCTTCAGGTGCTGGGCACTAGGTTGGACTTGTCCACAGCCAATCATCCGTAGACCGATGGTCAGACTGAGCGGGTAAACCGTGTCATTGGTGACATTTTGCGCATTGTTTGTGCTGATAAGTCAAGGCGTTAGAGCTCGATACCTCCGGTGGTCAAGTTTGCGTTAAACATCACTGTTTATGCCACTACGGGATTTACTCCATTTTACGTGGATGGTATCACTCACGCGTTCCGTTAACTCCACCACCACGTGGTTCTGGACTTAATGGGGGAGGAAAATCCGATCGGCTTGCTGCTGTCAGCCCAACTACTGTTCGAAAACAGGCGAGCGAGTTTCTCGTTCCGCGATTAAATGTCTTAAGACATGTGCGTGACGCAATGGCTGATAGCCAAGATACCCAAAAACAACAAGCTGATGCCAAAGGCAGAAAGTGTTTGAGAGTAATGAAATTTTTGTTGACCTAGTATTATCTAAAGCTAAGAATCTACCTACCAAGGTGATGTCAGCAGTCTGCGGGACCAAGTTGCGTCATCGCTTCATTGGGCCGTTTACGGTTGTGTCTAAGAAAGGCATAGCGTACACACTTAACATCCCGCGCAAGATGCAAACACACCCAGTGTTTAACGTTAGCTTGCTATAGTTTTACCTTGATCCGTCACGGGTTGATCAGGAGGCGCTTGCGCCGAAGGAGTTGGCGATGGCACAAGTCGAGGAACCCTCAAGAGAAGATCCAGGTGTCCTTCAAGATGCGCCACTCGGTCACGCAGACCGTGCACCTCGTGCACTAGCTCTTCGACGATGCGTCAAGATTCTCCTACTACCGTCTTCTCTCGTTGAAGAGCACGTGGATCAAAAATACCATGCTAAACGTCTCCTGCGGCGACGTCGTCGCGACGGTCAGTACCAGTACATGGTACAGTGGCGGGGGTACCCGGAGTCGGGGAAGGGAGGACGAAGGGCCACTGCGGCAGGATTGTCCGTGAGCCGTCGACGTTTTTAAACGTCGTCTTCAGGGTCATTCGACCCATACCGCTTGCCACTAGTCGACGTGGGAGTGGAGGAGGCTGCAGCTGCAGGTGCACTGAGACGCGGGTCCGTGGATGCCGCAACATAGCGTGTGCGATAAAACGATTGCATTTGGCCTTTGGCTATTGTTTGGCGAAAACGAAGCGCATCTTCCGTTCCAACAGGACGTCGGCAAGTGAAGCGCTCTCTTGGAGATTCAACAGGATTGGCAGACGACGTACTCTGTGAACTTAACGCGTAAAGATGACATCATTCTCCGCCTCTGTATCACCAGGTAAGAGAACGATGGGTGTTGTCCGCATGTCGGACACAAATGCACCCTGTGCTTGCCGATTCAGCCTGTCAACGTATTCTTGAGCGTTCATACGTTCTACCCCAAGTATCTCGCTCTGAGAGCCTCCATCTCCGCTATTGCTGTGGCTGTGGCAGCCTTGGGACCCATGATCCATGTTGTGAGTGACTACCCGGCAGTCTAACAAATACGCGTATCCACAGTCGGTGGAGTGAAGCGGTAGCCACTGTGAGCATTGGCTGTGGCTACAATTTGAGCTTGGCGCCTGCGATCGTCCACCGACTGTAGATATTGCGCTTTGTCTCCATCGAGAGTGTTGTGCAACACACCCGACGCAGGGTCGACGACTGCACGCTGTGCAATGGGAGAAGATACCTCATCGAGTTCCAAAATGTTTTCGGCGCGATGCGTGTGCTGTTACGCGCCGGTGGCGTAGCTGGATGATGGTCGTAGATGCTCGAGGCAGCGGTATCAGTCTCGTAGTCAACCAAACCCTCTTCGAGGAATTCTTCCAGAGTGTTGGACTAACGATTTTACCCGTCATTTTGAGATGTGTTGTGATCACGATTGTCAAAGACCAGAGCTTTGACATCCCTAAAATAGCGCAGTAGAGGAATTGTCGACACAAGGTGTCGACAGCTTAGTGGGGGAGGGTGCAACGGGGTTACGCGGCGGTTATTGTAACGGGGTGAATCGTTACATAACAATTTATAAGAAATTGTTAATAGAATATAACTATAAGAGTTATATTCTCAGAATATTGTCATAAGGACAAATATTCTGTAGCACTTACGAGTAGTTCCTAATTGGTTGATATAGGCCATTATATCAACCAACGAAGACGCGCCACGACAGACGCACGCAATGAGTGGTGAGCAGATAACTGATTTACACATTTGTATTTAGACATAATTAGATGAAGATAAATAGTGATTTATTAACAGACATTAACTATTATAAATACAGTTCTACTTTTTACTTTAACCGAATACTCGCTTCTTCTTACCGTCTTCCTCTGCACGTACGAGTGTACGTGAAGTTCCGAGGCACCGCCTTATTCTGTCATCAGAATAAGTAGCTTGTACTGTCATCAGTACAAGCTTCAGGGTGCCCCGTTACAGTTATTGAACCGGTTGTGTTGTGTGTCCACACCATGTAAAGATCGGTGGATCTGAGTGGTACATTCTTGGTACCACGTATTTACGGTTATACCACATCTTATCGGGTAAGGATAGGGGATCAGACTTCTTTCATCAGATCGTAGTGTAGAAGGTAGAAAAAGTTTTCGGGTTTTATTGCCGTAGTTTAAGAATAAATAAAGTTCAGTTCACCTTTTGAATCGTTGGACGCTAGTGCCTAGTCAAGGCATAGCGTGTGGTAGGAGCAGTAGCCTTGTGAAGGCGTTTTTTTTACTCTTGTTTAACTAGTAGTGACTAGTCAGTGCGCGATTCCGTGAATCGTAATCCCTTCGGAACCGGGATTGTTAAGCTTGTACGCTTGAACGACTGTACGTCGTTGTTATTTTGATATAACTAAGAGATTCGTTAAGTCTAAGACTTCCTCTGCTAGGGAGCGCTAAGCAGCTCCACTACAGTTGAGATCATAGGTTTCCATGGATTCTGTCTCTCGACCGTCATTTGCTGCGGAAGGGGGACGGTCATGAGGCCCTGTTGGTGTTGTAGGAGGCTGAGCAGGGTTGCCTGTAGACGCTCGAGCGTCAGCAGCACTAACACTATCATAATGGGGGCACATTCCCACGTACTGCTTTACGACTGGTCACTTTCATGATTTGGTACAAAATCTGGAAGTGTTCATAAACAAAGTGCCTTGTCGGACCTTTTTGGGCTGGTCTTCTAAGAGAGAGAGGTAGAAAGACGTGGAGGGAGGCGGATGGTATTCACCTAACCAAGCCGGTGCGAGTTTACATTTCAAGTGCTCTCACCTGTCGGAGATCTGTTTCTAAGTGGAGCTGCGGGTATGACTGGCTTAGTCTCGACTTTGAGTATGTAGAAATTATAAACATAACAGCAAATCAAAACAATTCGACAATCTAGAGGATTTTTAAGCCGCACGACTCCATTTTTAGGCATGTGGTGAACGCTTATTAGCGAAAACCAAAGGCTCATTCGTGGTCCCCTAGTCGAAAGTGAATGCGCAGATGTCCATTCCCATAAAAGCTCGCTGTTTTACCACTTTCGTCGCTAAAACCATGTCTATTTCGGAGCTGTCTCGCCTCGTCACCAGTCAAACGCTCGACGAAACACACACGTCAAACTTACGAACTCATGCGCAAGTCGCAAGTGCAGCTGCTTCTGCGTGTGGTGCTCCATGTAGCCATCGCGTTGCTACTGAGTGTCCGCAGCGCCCACCTGGGCCGTACGCTGCACCCGTTCCAGCGTGCTGTTGCGAACAATTGGGTACACTTGCTCTTCTACGTCAACGTGCACTCAGCCACGATCCGAGAAAACCGGAACGAAGACGAAGCTGTTGAAACGCTGCCGCATTTTCTGCTCGAGATTGAAGAGGAAATTGCTGCAAACATCGGAGACGAGTTTTTCAGCGGCGGCTTTGCAGCGAGGGCGTCGGCGTTGCCAGTGGGTGCACTGTTTACCATTGAAGAGACGCGGCAGCACTTGCACGGGGCCGTGGACAACTACTTTCTACTGGCAGACGTGGCGCTGGACTCGTTCGTGGTGTTTAACAACAAGACGAGCTCATTTCTGTCCCCTCCACTGCTCACTGTGCGGGCGGATGTGGGCGATGAGACTCGGGACGAGCTTTATACGATCATGAACGGATCAGATTGTTGTGACCAGTGGCCTGCGCCGCTCCGCATGGGCGCAGACGTCGCTTCAAGACAGGAAACACGCGCGTTCTTGGACGCGTTGGATGCTATTGAGCTCAAGTTTGTCGTGGGTATGACGAAGAAGGATGCGAGAATGGAGGAGGACAATGCACGAGCGACGAGAGTGTACCAGTGGACAGTGGCAATGCGCTATGATTTGCTGAACCAAGGTCACCTGGAGGTCACTTTGAATTACAATCTTGACCATGTGTCGATACTTAAAGGTGGAAGGAGATATGCAGGTGAGGAAAAGAACGTACCGCCTGTGCTTTTGGACACGAGCGTCGCGCTCCATTGGGTCACGCTGGTCGTGATTGTACTGTTCCAGGTGAGCTCAGCGAAAGGGTTCTCAGTTCGTGTCAGAAAGTGCCTAAATCGTTTTTCTTTGCTTTGTGGGTGACGTGCGGATAACAGGGAGTAGAGTGCTTTGTAAAGTGGGGGTCTATCTCGAGTAGAGCAACCCAGCGTCCAAAAGAGTCGCGTCGCTCAATCGCTCTTGCTTTGGCAAAAGAGACGGCCAAAGACATCTGGTTTTGCTTTGCCCTGACAGTCAATGTGGCAACTGCAGTCTGTCTTTTGGCTGCGTGGCGAAATACGTATCAGCTCTCGTTGGACGATTCACTTTGTTTCACTTTTGCCTGCTGCTGCGCGCTGCAGTGGGGTAGCCTCGTGCGATATCTCCGGGTTAACACGCGGTTCCGCGTACTCGAGCTCACATTACGGCGCGGTTTTCCGCGCGTGTTACAGTTCCTTACAGGTGTGTTACCTATTTTTGTCGGCTTTGTGTTGTTCGGCACGGTCATGTTTGGTATGAAGGTGCCTCGATTTCGAAGTGCGAGCACTACAGCCACTGCACTGTTTTCCGTGGCGAATGGAGACGAAATTTACGACACATTTAATGACGTCGCATACTCTCCGTGGATCGGACAAATCTACATTTACTGCTACATCGTACTGTTTAGCTACGTTGTCTTGATGGTGTGCATCGGCATTATCGAGGATGCTTTTTTTTCAGCTCTGTATGGACGCGATTCGAACACTCAGCATGGACCGGGATCTGGCAGGATGGCATCAAGAGCTCATGGAGCCAAACTGCATTGTACGTCGTAGGACACGCTTTGTCCTCGGGGGATACAATAGATGACGAGAGGTCATGATATACGCTTTGGTTCAATGCGTGTTGTGGAAAGACTTTTCGTATGGAATGCCAGACAGTTCTCGAACGATGAGCAAAAGTATGCAGGGTGTTAGTACCGTTGCGATGTTGGCTTCTATTCTGCTTTGCGCCATGTTAATCTATGAATTACATACTGCAATGCTTTTGTCACGAGCTTGACTGCTGAAGGCTCACTGCACCACACGAAAAAGCAGTTTAGTGAGGCTGAGCGTTAAACAGTTGTCTGTTTGTGTCGCGCATTGTCAGCGGTTTGATGTCTCGTTCATAGCACACAAGACATGTCTTGTTGGACAGCATCGATCGGAAGTTGTCTAACCTTCGAGGTGCATCCTCAACCTGACGTACCACAGCACGCAACGGGGAAAGATCTTGCGTTGGGTTTCGATCGCAGAAGTGTCTTGTGGTATCACAGCAGCGACTAAGGACGAATTGTGGAAACCACCTCGATAATTACTTTGTGTCTGGTGTGCCAACCGAAATTAGTGGTGGAGGTAACATGAATTGTATGAGCTGGGGTCATTACAGTTGCGGTCCAACAAGTCATTTGAAAACAGCATGTCCAAAGATGGTGGAGGTCTAGTACAAACTTATCTTGATGAGTATACAACACTTTTGGTCGGTGCCGATGGAAGCAGAACACGTGTTGTACGGATGTAAGCTTCTTCTGGACACTGACGATGCTAATCATGATGGACTCGCGAATGCGTGGATGACCTAATGTTGCGTCTGGAGGAACTTGATGTGAGCACTGTTCGATTGGAAGACTGCTGGTAGCTGAGGTTGAGATTGTTTGATTTGCTACAAGTACCCTGGTGAAGCAAGCCTTGCCCTCGGTGCATCGCAGCTCGCCATCTGATGTATTAGCAGCAGGCTATACCAGAAAGAGACATGGTGGAGCGGTTCCGAATTCAGAGTGTGCAGAAGAATCGCTGCACCACTGGCATTCATATCAGCCACAAACATCCCTTTCCATGACAATGAGAGACTGACTGCGTATTACTATTGCCACCTCTGCTGGCTTATGAAGTCACGACGAATGCACTCAACGACTGACAGCATCGCATTGCTTGGCCAGAACTCTTCCGCTACGCACTACTTCCTTCATGCTCAGCGTCAAAATGGATGTCACTGGTCTGCGCAATGACTTGAACTGCAACAGCTCGGCTTAGACTCCTACTTTTTTTTATCACCGTACACTTTTCCTCCGCACTCCAACACTTTGCATTGAAGTAGACCCACCGAGGCAGTTGATGATGCTAGGAGATAGGACGATCGCCCATCCCACCTCTATCAAAGCGCCATTTCAGCTTTGTATCGAACTACCGAGTATGTAATTCGACCAAAAGCCGCGACTTTGGCTCCAACGAAAGTCGCACGTGGCAGGCAGCTCCTACTTACTTCTCATCAACTGACTCTTGTTAAGTGAGACCCGAGCTGGATCCAGTCCAATCATCGACGACTAAAGCGAGTTCGAGCCCAGTATCGATTCCCTCCAGCCAAGTCTGGACGGGTCCAGTCAGACGCCACCCACCCACCCACCCGATCGTTCCGCTCAAGTCCTTCCAGTCAACATGACCACCGACTTGGACCCAGACGCTGAGCGTTTAAGTGACGGCATTCGAGGCCGCAACAAGAAGTCGGACACCTTCTCCGAAGTAGAAAGCGGAAACTCTATCCCCGATACCATCTCCAACAGCTCCTTTTCAGCTTCAGCTTCGGATCCCGAAATTGACCTGTCCTCCGTCTCCGAGAAGACTGCAACCAAGAAGGACAACAGGACCAAAGCGGCACGCTCCAGTGCAGCTGCTGTCGTCCATTGGTGCCAGTCGATGCGTCTACAGTTCGGTGACGGTCTTTTGCTCCAGATCTTCTTTGTCTACTTGACCCAGGGGATCCGGAGTACACTTTGCTCCCTTGGCACGAGTTACTATCTGAACGAGACAATGGCATTACCGCCTGCCCAGTCCGAGTCCTTACGTGCCACTGCTGCAATTCCGTGGATCATTAAACCGCTCTATGGTCTACTATCAGACAGCGTGCCGATCTGGGGAACCCGTCGCAAGTCCTATCTCCTCATCTTCAGCGCCATCTCAGCTGCTGCTTACTTTGCTCTCTCTGTGCCTGGACTCATTACGACGTACGAGAGCGCGTTGGCTGCGCTCGTAGTTGCAAGTCTTGGTATCGCGTTTTGCGACGTGGTCATTGATGGAAAAGTCGTGGAAGCAGCACGCAGTGAGCGGGAGGACATGGCCGGGAACTTGCAGACGCTGTCGTGGATCTCGCTCTCGATCGGGTCGGTCTTGGGCTCAATGGTTGCAGCCTACGCGCTCAATAGCTTTGGGCCACTCGGGGTCTTCTTCATAACGGCCATGGGTCCGCTGAGCGTGATGCTGATCTCCAGTCAAATTGAAGAGACGACGTACATGCCGCAAGAAGACTTGGGGTTCCTCCAGACTGTACTAGACCAATGCCGGGCCCTGGCATCGGTGGTAGTCGACCCTATCTGCTGGCGTCCCATGCTCTGGATTTTCCTGTCCAATGCGTTGCCCCCTAGTGTCGGTGAAGCCATGTTCACATTCAAGACAGCCGAGTTGGGCTTTTCCAAATCGTTTCTAGGCTTCATCTCCACCGCTGGCAGCTTCACGCTCTTAGGCACAACCGCCGTCTACAATGCCTATTTCCGTGACATGCCATTTCGCCGCATGTTCTTCCGTATCCAGCTGGCATCAGCTTGCGTATCGCTCGCCGAGTTTGTCCTCGTCTCTCGTGTAAACTTGGAGTTTGGGATGAGTGACCGGTTTTTCATCTTTGGCGACGAGATCCTCTCAGACGTCGTTGCTCGACTGAAGCATATGCCTTCGCTCGTCCTGTGTGCCAAGATATGTCCGCCAGGTATCGAGGGCACCATGTTTGCACTGCTCATGTCCATCTACAACTTCTCGTGGTCCGTCGCTTCATACGGTGGATCATGGCTGTGCAGCTACTTGCAGATCTCCAAGACAAACTTTGCAGGGCTTGCCACTGCGGTGATCATCCGCAGCGTGGCAAAAGTTGTGCCGCTCTTGCTGCTCTTCATGGTACCTGCGACAATCGGGATCAGCAGCTCGTCCTCCCTAGCGTCCAACACGAAGGCTACTCGAACCAGAAAACATAGCGAGAGTGCTAGTGACAGTGCGAGCGACAGTGCCGTCGAGCTCAACATACAGACGTGATTGCAGTTGGCACATGTTGGGGGCACTACGAATGCTTAATTTGCTTCTCGTGTACAGTAGATCAGCGCGGATGTAGTGTTCGTTGGGACCGGAACATGATTATGAAGGTCTCGTTGTCGTAGACGAACCCTTCTCAAGTCAAAGTTGATGATGAATTGACCAAGTACGTGATGTTGAGGCGATACGCCCACTTTGTGTCATCGCTGTCGCGACGTCCAGTCTTGATCCGAAGGCGTGATATGTGTAAACCAATTTGCTCGCCAACGTCAAGAATGTGCTCTCAAGCCCATGATCCCATGCAGTTCGTGTATAACTTCAACTTCGTTACCTCGATGGAGCTGCCATTGCGCCTTGAATAGTTGAGCTGTAGCGCAGGGCTTATAGGTCGTCGATAGTGACGGTAACGCCTTCCTGATAACATGAGCCCGTATTCCATACATGTTTCTAAGCTTATTTTGCCTTCGCCGCTTCCAGATAACAACACCTGACGAGTCGTGTCCCCAAAAAAAGCGAATACTTGACATCAAATGCGACGCAAACAGTAGCTACAAGTGTGCGAACAATTACTGATAGTAGCTTTATCTTTGGCAAGGCAGCAGGCAAAGTTCAAGGATTCGCGAGAGCACTCGGTGATCCGTTCCAGGCACAAAATTACCAGATCAAACACCGGAATGCCTTGATGAAGTCTTGCTCTATTCATTATCAAGTTCTTCTGAGGTTTGATTGTCGTTGATATGCAGAAGTATATTCATTGCGTTCCCTACGGTTCCATTAAAAATGTGCGAGACATCCTAAGAATCGCAAACGAAGTGTATATTCTGCTTTGCCAGCGCATTGCAATAGACGAAGGATACCTAGCGGAATGGCTGGTATACGTAAGCTAACATTGAGGCACAAGCGAATAGTTCTCGGTTGCGTCAGCGCTTTTTCGTGACACTTTTTCGTTTCGCCTATTTGACATACTCTGCACCAACACGGATATGATGTTCGACGTCGTGTCAAGCTAGACCATGACATTCATGTGTCCCATTTTGCCGCTTCTAGTTCGTGGTAGAACTTTGATCAATAGCACGAGTTCGAGACGCATCGTTGTAGCAACCATTTTGGCAGAATGCGAAGGTCTAAAGTTGTGGCGCTTGTAGAATGCTCTGAGAGTAGTAGTCAACGAACCACGTATCTACTCCAAATTACCTATCTGTTGGCTTGAGTTGACAGGATCAAGCTGTTCAAGTGTCGACCATCTCGTCATACTGAAGCCAGCGCCAAGCAAGGGTCACAGTCATCTATTCTCAATACACAAGTTCCTTATGCGTACTCGATCCATAGGCTACACAGATACTTTCAATCAATCGGCTATGGAAGGCAGGCTTGTGTCTATCTTATGATGTTCCGAAAGCACTGGAGTGCGCGTGGTGATCATTACAACGGCTTCTGCGACCGCGCGACTTTCGTCGGGCTGTGGCTGTGGTGTCTTGAGATCTAATTTTAAAATTGGTGTCGCCTCGCGCAGGACATCAAGTAACTGTGGGCTAAATTGTGCGAGGCGCTATCAATCGACATCAACGCGAGAAATTCATCCGGCTAGCAGGTTGGACAGCGATTATCATCCGGAGGATGTTACAACACATTAGGAAATCGGTACTAGGGATCGGCAAGCACATTCGAAGACACGGTCGTTTTCAATCTATAGAGTTCTGTGTTGACATAGCTTGATTAGCCCTGCAAGGCTAGTCGATGTTATTCGAAGGTTTACACGCGTCTAACATGTTTTCTGCTAAATCATTGAAAAAAATGGTAATTTTGATGGATACTGCTGCTGCATCATGCTCTCGGTCCTACGACAAAAGCATCTTCCGCTAATGGTTCACGCCGGTCTGTCTCTATGACCTTAGACGATAGGCAGTTGAGTCAACAAAATCTTGCATGCTACGAGAGCAGGGTCCCGTTAAATCATCATCGAACAACTTTTTTTAGCGAAAATGTCCACGACCCTCTTTCAAGCTACTTGCCTCGGTAAGAATCAGTGTGTTCAGCGTTCACAAATGCCGCTACAGATAGGTGTTACAGATTGGTTAAGTTGTAGCATACACCGAAGTATGCATCCAACTGAGAGTACAGTCCAATTTCACGTTTGTAGGACGCGAGAACATCCAGAACGCAGGTTGGACCATTCGCGTAGCAACGTAGCTTATAGAGAATTTGGCCGGGCTCGCAGCTTCCAGCCACGCATCGTGAAGCAAGCGTTCTCTGCTGTATCGTCAAAGGTGAAATGCTTGTGAGACTTGCAAAGCCAAATGGTCAGCTCTATGTGCAGCCAGGGTCATGCGAAATTAGCACTTCTTCTATAGCCACATCAGCATCATTAGGCTTTTACACATTGCCAGACAAGAAACATAACGAACGCAGGGTCGCCAAGCCATGCAGGGCTTTTATCCAGAGCGCTGTGCATCTGATAGATCACAAATATACTCGGCAAAAAAACATCAAGAGTATGCACAAACTGACAAGATTGCAGAGCTCGTCGAAAAACCATGATAGATGAGTGGATTGTCCCGAAAGATGCAGCAATGCAGAAGTAGAATACGCCAGGAAAAGCATTCCAGAAATTTAACAGCAGTACGGAGAACAGTTGAGTCGCCATGCGAATACGTCCCCTTTGATTTCAATAGAACACACAATCCTTAGTCGATACCTGCAGGGGTGAAACGGACTTTTGCAAGACGAGCCTCTGGCGTTCGAATGACCATTCAGCAACTATTTGGCATACGTGAGAGCAACCACGAATTATCTGTCGTCCATTCATCACAAACGGCAATCAGTTATCCTTCGTCCTATTGGCATATCAACACTTTTCGGCCAACGCTAACGGTTTGCAGATGCAGCACAAACGCTGCAGCACTTCACCAAATACTTGCTAATGGAAAAACGAAACTGTTCAAAAAAATCATGTAGTTGCTTGGATCGTGAATAATAACATAGCATTCGACCACTTGTCCAACAAACTTTCACGCTGACGGCGTAACTAGACGGCATGGTTCTTGCCAGCAACGACCTCGGTCTTAAAATCCTTACTTGGGCAGTTCAACAAAGGCGGAGCAAACACACTCGCCTTGCCTTGCTGACTTTTGGCCCACGAGTAAAACATGACACCACTCACAACGATCAAGGTGGCCACGCCGCGCTTGGTATCGAAACATTGGGATTCCTGCTGGCTGCAGTACATCATCGAGCTGATTATAAACACACACACAGCGCGTAAGCTCTGCATGATACCAGTTGTAACAGCACCACTCGAGCCCAGCATCACAAAGTACGTGAGTCCGTGAGCCAGCTGAGACAGCGTGTACGCTGCGAGTGCAAATAAAATATTGATCGTATTTCCATTGGCGTCTACGATCGGCTTCGTCACCAATACATCCCATGAAGGCAGCACAAAGATGCTCTGATAAACGGCAATAACAGCAAGACAAATCGCGCCAATTTTGAGACACAACTCCTTCGGCTGCGGTCGCTCCACCAGCGCAAGCGTGTATTCTCCCGTGACATAGTTGCCGCCATAAAATGCAGCACCAACTAGCGTATTGAGACAGCCCATAAGAACAAGCGTGTTGTCACGCCCACTCCCAGACTCCCCGAGCGCGCTGAACGCTAGTCCGAATGTTACCAGGGCAATGCCACACCACTCCTCTTTCGACACGATCTTTTTCAGAATGAACCGGGACAAGAGCGCCGACCAGCAAATGACGCTCGAGTACACGACCTGGTACAGTCCACTTCCAGCCATGGATAACCCCAGATTCGAAAAGATGCAGCCGGCAAAGTCCAGCACGACCGATACAATGATACAAAGCTGCAGTGTCGACACTGAAAAGTGCACGGACGACGACGTGACTCGGAACCCGAGCGACGCAGCTTTCTTCCCTTCACTGCTGCTGTTACTGCTTTCGTCATGATCTTTTTCCGCCGCCAGCAGCAGCTGCGCCTCAACCTCGTCCTCCTTTGTATTGCACTCCCGCTCCAACATCGTTGAGCGCCGCGTAAGTGCGACCGTCTCCGGAGCTTCCAAGTCCACCAAATGACATTGCATCGACACTGCGAGCTTCCGTCTGCAAATCGGGCGTGAGCTCTGGCTCCACGTCTTCTTCCGGTGGTGACCTGTAAACGTGCGTCTCGAGTCGCTGCAGCTTCACGTGCTCCTCTTCTTCTTCCTCCTCCTCCGTCAAATTACTCTCTCCTACTTCCAAAGTAGCAGCAGCAGCAGCAGCAGCAGCTCCTATAGACGGCAATAACCCCACCAGCATCATCCCCAAGTAGTTGCATAGTGGGAGGAGCATGGCTTTCTGGTCCCCTGCCCCCTGGTAGAAGACAAACTGCGCCACGCAAGTGGAAAAGACGCCCGTAGCAAGGAAAACCCCCTGTATAAAGAGCTCGAACAGGTGCAGCCGAGAGCTCTCCAGCGCCACGACGGACGGCGCAGCTCGCGTCTTGGTCGACTCCATGGCGGTGGAAGAGCGGGAGACGAAAAGTGGCACTAGCCGGTTTGAAGATTCAGTTTGGACCATTTTTTTATGCAGTTAATTATTGAACCACATGGTTTTTTACGACGACGACGGGAGGCTGACTTGCATTTAGTATGACTTGGAGAAAACCTCGATTCTTGTGAGATGATACTAATAGGCTTTTTATGATGCGCGTGCTACCTATAAAACAGGTGGGTAATTAAACCGCAAGACATGAGACATGAGACATTACCTACGAGGTTAAAAGTGACGACAATTTGACGACCTTTGTAGTTATAGCGTCCAATCGTAACGTGGCATTGTTGTGACGATTTTGTACAAGGAATATCGTAAATACAGCGATCGATGCAGGGGCGTTGGAATGGCTGCATGCATCGTAGCTCCTCGCGTTTCGAAGTGCATTGTAAAAGGCTGGATATTTGTGCACTGCTGTGCCGTGAAGGAAGAAAGCGGAAGGTCGCAGTTGGGGGCTGTAAATTTTGAGATTCCAGCTTCACTGCTCTTGAGCAGCAGCGTCATTGTCGCACGACTTGAGAGTGCTAAAGGATTCGCTAGCGTTCTTAGTTGAGCACGTGTGGGTTGTATCTGCACAGCAAGACACTTCTTTATCCACTTTATGCGCTTCTTTTGCAGATTTTCGAGCTGATCTACATGATCTTCGTATCGCCGGACTAGTCGAAGAATGAAATTACGATTTGGCTGTGGCTGTTGGTATCTCCAAGCATTCCCACACAAGATCAAACAGTATGCCTTGCCTATTTTGCAGTCTAGAAACTGTTACAGCTAGTATCGAGTTAGTGGGCGGTGCGTCGACTTTGTACCTCTCTCGGCATGCAGCGACACACTGCCGCGTTCTTGTTGTTCGCGATGGTGTATCATAATATAGACCAACGTGCGAGTGTTTTTGACACAATGAGCTTAGTCTCACGCTGCGTACATGGGACCTCCTCCCCCATTAGATGATTGTATTTGTATACGAAAGTTACGTGGCCGCAAACTCGGTACCGAGGCCACAAGTTGACACTTCGGGTACGATCCGTGAATGTTGAGGGCTCAATCGATCAGATACGCACCGATCGAGACTATGGGAACGTCAGATCAAATCGAAGATAGACTTCACACGGGCTTGTTGATTAAAAATCACGTCTCCATCTAAGACTCGCCTGACGCTTACGAGTCCACACCCTCATTCGCCCCAATCTTTTTAGTGTCGCAGTGGTGGAATATTGTGCCGAAGAGCAGATTATATCTTTCTACAATAGATGCTACGGGCTTTGGTCGAAAGACCTCCTGTGTTCAGCTCTTCGATTCGTGTTTTTTCCGAAGTAAATAATATCAGGAGAGCATCAATCGGAATGAAATTGTAATCGTCGAGTTATTTTTGTTTAGATCAAGCGCAACCGTTGATTCGATCGAAGGATCCTAGTGTATTCCTTCTCAAATGGTTTGTCTTTTCAATCGTCTTGGTCAGTTCGAGTATACGCCTTTTCTCATATCCTTAAGCCAATTCGAGTCTCGCACTTGAACTTTTGACTGTCTGCCCTCAGAATTTACCGAACACGATCATATCCTTCGCTACGTAGACGTTGCTTTGCGGCATGATAAGGATGCGCCTGTACGATACAAGTCTTTCTCGCGCCGACGATGCCATTTTACTGTTTTAAGAAGCTTTTGTTTGAGCTTTCAGCGTCACATAAACTACCTTATGATTTCGCTCAGTCAGTGTCCGCACCACTACTCGTACAAAATATGATCACCAACATCGGTCAATCTCAGTTCGAGTATCGGCCTTCCCTCTTAAACATCATACGCAGTTGGCTAAGATTGAAGCGACGGATCCGGAGCGCAACGCCATCATGTGACGGAAGTATCGTTCTAATCTCACGCGGAGTTAGATCACGGAGCAAAATTTCCTCATGAGACTTTGACTTCGACAAAAAGCGCACATAACGCAGTGCATACGCGTATATAGTCGGATGGTGTGAAGCGTCCGACGGAAACGAATTGACGTCCTATCACGGATGTAACATACCCGCAGTTGCCTTTCTTCTTGGTGCAAACACCTCCACATCATGTGGTTCAGATTCCGATACGGCATAAGTACGCCAACGCACACATCAGGTATGTGCGCATCGGCGCGGTAAATTCTGCCTATACACAGTTTCTTTCTTCGCGACTACCGCAAAAGCGAGAGCGCAGCTTTATCTAGATCATAGTATGCATTAAACTTTCGGGAAATGTTTAGCTTTCTTACTTATTCTCCGACGTCATGCCTCTCAATAATTTTCTTGTCGTTTTTGTAAAAAGGTTACGCAAAAGCGATATGGGAATATCGGGTCACATAGTTGCTGCGTATACTGCCGAATGTAATTTGTCTGTCGGTTCAGCTTAAAATAATGACCTGAAAGTCACATCTTCAGGTTTGTACACTAAAAAATGGCTAAAATTGTGTAGTGGATGACACGTGTCTGACACCGAATTAGGTATACACGTAGGAATACACACATTGAGTAGTGACATCTTAAAATTTGAGGTATTCGTACATGGCCAATCAATTTGGACCAAACTTAATGAGATGCGGCTCACGTTTGAAGCCGCAGAGAACCTATGTGAAGGCTAAAGTCTATGTCAATACTTTGTGCTGTTTTAAGTCCTTAGATAGTACCTTTAGATACTCGTTTTTATGTCGCATCGTGCTATAATTACGTAAAAATTGATTACCTGTACGGTCTTAAAGGATCTCTGAGTCGATGCTATCAGTCCTTTCGAACTAAATGGCTCGAAGAAAATTGCATTTTTGGTAAGCGGTGTGTTGACTTCGCTGCACATACTATTCACCTTCTTATTCGGTTTGTGTTGGTTCCATCTTTTGCGTCGCGCGCATGTCGTAATGCATTTGAACGTGTCGCAATGACACTTCACTCTTTGTAAACATTTTTTTAGAGCTGAAATCAGCAAGCCGATCGGTCACCTCTTCTTCATTGAGTCTAAACTGCGTAGTGGTAACGTTTACTGTAAAAATGGTGCGCGTGGTCGCTCACATACAACGTATTGTGGCCAGTAGAGGTGTGATCCGCGTTCTTATACGCAAACTCAAAAACGTATAGTATATTATCTTTACAGCATGAGGGGTATCAGCACAAAGATGCTTGGCTATGTTCAAAAAAGCAATGAACTCGCTCTGTGTGACTATCGGTCTGTGGATGATCCTATGTGGATATTTATAAGCGTATGTTGAGCATTCACAACATGAATCGCCATATTGACTCGTGAGATGAGGGTCTTGGTAATTAAGATGTCACCATCATACTTTTTTGAAGAAACACGCGATTGAATAACAGTATAGAATATACCTTTACCATCGAAAAATTCGAAATGGCCGCTGAATGATCCATATTGCTCAAACGTTCAGAAATACCACAATATCGGTGTGACCTTTTCCACATTTCGGTAGGCTAACTATAGATCTATCAATGCAAACGAAAGGGCTCCCAACGTACGGAGGAAATCGACAATCTAGCTAGGCGGGCTACTCTATGGGCCTAGGTTTTATCTGATAACTCATTTCGTTTGTACGTGCATGTGCGTTCTCTTATTTTTAGTGGTGATGCTGGATTACCAAGACATTGGGCTCTAAACCAAGATAAATACTCAGTGCAGCATCAGGCGCCTCATACACTATCCGTACTTTGTTGTGATGAAAGTATCCTTAAAATCTATGCAATTATATCATACACCTTGGTCTGCATTATATCGATGTCTTTTCGTACGAAAGTGTGCTGACATATCACTTCCGTTTTCATAACTGTTTTCTACTAATGTCACTAAGAAATGTACTTATTGATCACAAAAATATAAATCGCACGGTTAAAGTCCGAAGTGGGCTATAAAAAAATTTGTTACATGAGCAAGCTCATAATCAAGTCTGCGTTACAACACATCTGCCAGAACGATCTGCTATCCTGTACACATTTACCGTGGAGTTATGTCCATAAATTATGATAACCTACATTCATCTTCAGTGTGAGATGATGAATCTGGATCAAAGTGCGTAATGATGCATGGTCGACTCGGATCACAAACTTCTTAGAGCCAAAAAATACAATTTGAAATGACAAGATCACACTCCATTAAAAGTAGCTCTTTGTCATGAACTTTACACTTCATTCAAAAGCCTTATGGTGGTGGGACTTAAGAGCGATAATACGCCAAAAAAATTTCAGCATTCTTTGGTATTAGATCAATACCAATGGAAACGTATGATATTCACATAGAAGGTTTACTGGATCAAAAAAGCCAAAATCGGGAGATGAAGGAGCCTTTTTATAAATTTGAAATCTAAATGTTTGGTTTTACTTCAGCACGATCGCAATCTTTAGAGATTCTAGGATAATTGCCTTGCCATGTTAACGTAACTCTTACTATGCTTGCGTTATTAGAATGCACGAGAAATCCATTTACGCATCTCCTATTGGTTCTTAAGAAACTGACCAATCATCTGTGCGTTGGACCACCCAAGGATATGCTCTCAGACCGCAATCCAGTAAAACGGTTAAGCAAGAGAATCACTAGCACCAAATTGATGCATTGGCGTGTAGATAATTGGTGCGCATGTACTTGACATTGATCGCAAACGGCCGATGTAGTTATTTGCATCTGGCTTTACGTTCTCCACGCGACCATGGACAAATGTATGATCAAAAAAGGACATGCACAAACTCTGTGGGGACGTGACAGTTGCATCACAAAGAGATGTAGTGCACCAGGCGACTAGATACACCTGGGCTTAACCAGATTCCTCCACTGAGCAAAAATTATAGTAATTACTTTCGTAAGTGGGGTAATGATAACCTATGTGATAAATGATTGTGACGACGTCTATACAGTTGCGTGCAAAGTGGAATCGCATGAATCACGTTCTCAGCCAATCTCGAAGCAATCATGATTGGTAGATTTGGAATTGAGACGGGTCCCTAAGT